ATGGCAGCTCCTGCTGTGCACTGATAGCTCTGCAAAAACTTTCATCTCATTTGGCAGTTTTCGCCTCCTGTCAAGGGGGTGGGCGTTTCGCAAAGGAATGTCCTGCTGCATCGTCCGGCACCCCGTCAATGTATTTGGGGGGAGGGTAACTTGCTCTTTGAAGGTGGCCTCGCGAGCAGATCCCCTCGAACCTGCCCCAGCCGAGCTGTACTGTTTGCGGCAGCTCTTCACTTGTCACTAGGGTTGATGACCTCCTTCAGACGACCCCTTCAAAAGCCACGTCTCGAAGCCATTCGGCCAACTGGCAAGCCTTGTCATGACAGCGAGCCATTTGGTTTGCGAAAAGGGTCCAATTTCCTGTGAAGAAGAGATGGCGGCAGTCGGGATGAGCTTTCTCAAAAAGCTTCTGCTTACTTTGTCCGAGCCGCGAAGGCTGCCTCGTTCGCAGAAGAGAGATCGTGAAATGTGGAAGGCTCATTCGTTCAAAAGTTTTTCGTTTATCTGTAGGCTCTCGAGACTACCAGTAGATCATAGATATGGGGTGTATCCACTCTGGTGGTTGAATTTTCCCACAATCCTATCAGTCAGACAAGGGTGGGCCTTTTGGAAAATCAAGGCTATGCGAAATTCACTTAACAGTAAGGCTGTATGCATCTTATAGAGTTGACGGTGTGTTTATATGAGACCCAAATGTCTAGAAGCCGTAGCAAAGCTGTCAAGTGGGCCATTCGTTTCTGCGGCTTCATCATCACATAGGACGAACTAATAGAAAAAACCAGCATATTGACGTTGCGCCAGAGTCTTTAAAGGCATCCGGCAAGCTTCACCACGGACAAACCCTTCTGCTCCTCTTTCTTGTACAAGAGGCGCCTGTATGTTTTTTCAAGCAGTTGCCTAAAGGCATGGATGCTGTCATGAAAGCCGACTTTTTGAGGGTCCCTTAAGGATTTCTCATCTGCGGTTTGTGATCGGTTGTTGTGAATGTACAAGTTCTTGAGGCACCGTCCACTGAGCAAGCGGAAAGGGATTAGTTTGCTTGGCTAGGCTTGCAACATCTCAATTGACTCATGAATATTGCATGCAAGCAGGTAAGGGCAGATCTGATAGTATCTAAAGGCTACTTCTACACGAAATAGGAAAAATACGTTTGCTTCATCGATAATCCCACCAAAGAATGTGATATGGGAAAAGACCTGGCCTTCCTCGAAATTCACATCTGCCCTATGACCCGAGGGCACTCGTGGCAATGTGGCCGAGTGGTTGACGTGTCAAGCTCCCAGTCTGCGCTGTCACGGTTCGACTCTCGCTGGAGGTGTTGACAAGACCGATGCGAGGTTGATGCTGAAGTCCACTTCAGCCGGGATGAGAACAACTTTTGGGAAATTCAACCGAGACGTCAGCTCTACTGATTTTATTGTGGGAAAATTCTACTACCAGTCATTCATCATATTAAACGAAACAGAAGATTCGTTGAAATTGCTTGCTTGTGTATAACAATTGTGGTCACCCCATTTCGTTTCAAGTGACGAATGAGTGGTAGTTGAATTTTCCCACAATCATTTGAGTTTTCATATTTACACTCAATTTCGCACAGCCTTGCCGCCCAAAAGGTATCCGACCTCGCCAGGGCCTCATCCGCACCACCAACGGGACTCAAACCCTGGCTGTGGTGGTACAGCGTATAGTCTCAACACGTTAACTTCTACGCCAAATTGCTACAGTTTCCCTCGGGTCACGAGACAAAAGTGAATTTCAAGGTAGCCCTCTCCCATATCGGATTACGTTGTGCAAAAGTTTTATTTTCCAGTACTCTTGACTACATTGGCTATTTTAATTTTGTAAATTGGTTTATAAATTACCAATGGACTTTGCATATGAAATTTATTCTCCCCATTTCTTGTCAACTGTCAGTCATTCATTATCTTAAACTAATTAGAGTGAATGCAACTCTTAGCCAAGATCTACTGGTAGTCTCAAAACTCACATACAAAATTGCAGGTTTACACTAAATGGGATTTACATAAGGAAATGGATATTTAGTTACCTCTGCTTCAACTTCACACATGCCGGAAAAACATGAAGTTTCCGACCAAACCGTGTGATGCCTAATTGACATAGCAAAATGAAAGATAATAACATAATCATAATAGGAGAAAAAGGCAGATTAAGGCGGAATTGCAGCATGTCATTATTCATGGCTTAATCTTTGATGAATTTCATCAAAGATATATTTCTTGCTCTGACGAGTTAGTACAAGGTGGGACATAAAAAGATCGGTAGAGATGGTTCGGGCTCTCAAGGCAGTTCGCCGAGGACATTTTGCTCAGCTAGACTGCGCCAACTCCAAGACACTCTTCCTTCGGTTTCCATTGAGTCAACTTTATGAATCCTTTATGCCCAACTATTCATTTGAAATAAAAAATCTAATGACAAGAACCATATCCAAAAAAGGTGGGTTTCGAGTAAGCTCGAAACCTCTACTCCGAGCGAAAGTGTGTGATAAGGAGGGTCGAAGGTTGATCCCAGCAAAAGAGAATTTTGCTGTATGTATGCTACTAGGAGTTTCTGATGACTTGTGCGTATTAGGAAGTGCAGAAAAGGTCAAAAACCGCGTATCTATCTGTCTGTGTGCGTGTGTGTATGTTCATGCTTACGTATGCACACACACTAATAGTAAGAGATTGGAAATTGCCTTGAGCAAATCCACGCCTTCGAACCCTTTCAGATGGCGGCTTGGTTTCAGTAAATTTGTTTATATCTCATTGTTATGCAGACATTCAGATAAATGCTATAATAACGGATTAACAAACTCGTAGGTTGGTCTAATCAGGACACTTCGGCGGATTGACTTTGGCTTTGGTTGTGCCTAAAAGGTATAGTTTTGTTGACCTTCAAAGTGTTTTTGGATGTGTTCCATTTAGTAGCACGTTAAGATCAGCTTAGGTAAGTTGTTAGCCTAACCTACCGAGGCAAAGTGGAGCATGTCAGTTTTGTGGAGACTCACTCGTTTAAAAGTGCACGATGAAGAGAATCAGTGGTTGATCTCAACAGAAGACCACGACTGGCAGATGAAAACTCAGCCCGTTTTCACCCTAAACAAATAAAGATTTCTCGAGGACTGCTTCAACCTGAACATCGTATTAGGGCCAAATGGCTGAGGTCAATGGTGAATGAAACATCGTCTTCTAGCGCGATCAACTGACGAACCTCTTTATCATGCAGTTTCATAGGACTGAATGCCTCTACAACAATGCTATCTCAAATTTCATCAAAACCCAGTGACTTATCAGTATTTTTTGTTCTGTTGGCTAGATAAATGCTTAAAAAACATCAAATAGATTTTTTAATCTTAATCTTTTCGTATGAAATTGTCACACAACTTGTTTGCTTATTAGGAGTATAAAGTCATTTGACGATTGAACCTGAAAACTCCCAATATTTGGCAGTACTTTTATGATTATTCACTGAATCTTGAAGATAATCAGTTTGGTTTACTTCAATAATTTATTTAAGAAGGCATTTTTGACTGAAAATGAAACTTGAATACCCTTTTATTCTTGCCTTGCTGTTTTAAACATTCTCAGAAAAATAGAATTAGTGAAGACTTATGGTCTTGCATAATAATATATAGGCCTCTTCTACAGTTTGCCCATTTTCTTCCATCTCGGGTGAAGTGTTTGGTGAAGAGCTTTGAAGCTCGATCCCACCAGAAAACGATGTCGAATTCCTCTTTACCAGCTGTCGATTGGCATTGCTGGATCACTTAGGTTGACGCTGTTTTCGAGGTAATCGCCTTCGATTCCGGTGAAAACGTCGTATGACGAACAGCATTA